CAGTACCAGCAGGTGACACAACAGCATCCTTGGGAATACTCCCTCCTGCTGCCCTTTGGGTCCCTGTTCCCAAGGTCTGATCCCATTTGTTTGCTTTTCAGGCAGATCACAACCTCTGGCAAGCGGCTATAGCAGCGTGTCTTGCTGGGCACTGACTACAGCCATGCAATGGGCTTCCCTCTGTCACTGCTTCCTCCTGGATAAACGCCAGATTTAGCATGTCAAAAGCAGACAAAACATGAAATGAAAAGCAAACAAACCACGCATCCTATAGTTTCAAACAACAAATACCAAAGCAACAGGAGAGACACTATCTGCTGAGAACTCGTGCCTGGAATTTGTCTCTCTATAGATTTGTTTATATTCATACGTATAAGCGTGTGTATATGTATGCACACAGGCGTATGCCTACTGCATATATCTAGAGGACAAGAGAATAAGACACTATATGTACTAAGACACATTAAGAAGATATAAACCCAAATCTATATACTGAAGGGTTTAAAACAATTTTCAGCATTTCATCAGTCAGCCTAAGAGAATCCTTCCCATCTGCCCAAAAGCAATAAAGCAAGCAAATTACACGGCTGACTCTTTCCCAACCTTCTTAGCGGCATGCTTAACCTTCGCCTGTATAATAAATAAATGTCCTGAGTTTGATAACAAAGATCATTCATCCTTCCTTTTAAAGTACAATCAGTTCTCCCTTTCTCAGTCTTATATTGGAGTGCAGGAAAATTGAGCGAAGGGAGTAGGAGGAGATGATCTTTTTGCACAGAGGTTGTTTTTGGGCCAATGCAGCTCCCTGGCGTTCATATCCCAGCCTGCCAACATCTTCAGGAGCTGTGATGGAGCTGATGCTGGGGGACGATGAAGCCCCCAAAAGGCAGGTCTTCTGTGAGCAGTTTAAGTTGTTGTCACTTCAGTGCCATAGCCGTAGGCATTTCCTCACACACAGCCTATGGATACTAACACTAAGGCCACTGCTGATTTTGGTATTGTTGATATTGCTGATTTTGCTGGATGCCTTTGAAATCCCAGGCTCATCTTGCTGTTTGGCCAATGCCATATTCCATCCCAGAATCAGAATCTGGCTCCAGGTGAGCTTAGAGCTGAACCCCTCTCCACGCCATTTTATTTGTACTATAAAACCAAGCTATGGAGGTGATTGGAATATTTAAGTACTTGTAGGATAGTTCTACAGTAAATCTAGGTGAAACACTTCCACCTTCCTACAACATCTGGCAGCCTCCTCCCACTGTCTAATGACCCAACCTGCAGGAGGAACTCCAGTGCTCACTATTTCAGAAGGATTTGAATTAAGGGTGACTGTTCAACCCACCTGAGCTCACAGTGTTTATAGATAATCTGAAAAGCTAACCCAGATCTGTCCGAGCTCAAAGACTGCCATAACTGCTAAACCCACTCCCTAGAGAAAATTTGGCCTGCCCTTGCTCTTCAGAGCCCACAGCCTTCACTTGCAAGAGAGAACAGTCCTATGCCTGTAAATTAGTGCCTTCCCCTACGTTTCCCAGCACAAGGTTACAGCTGGTCACTTACTCATCTGTGCCTGCCCTCAGTGTTCAACATAGCTATCTATTTAGGCTGCTCTGTATAATTTAAGAATTAAAACTAAACACTATGTTACCTACAGCCACATCATCTTAGATGAGCTTAAACAACTGTGAAATTCCTGGGATCTATTAAAAGCAACATTCAGCGCACACATTAATCAACAGATGCTCAGTAGCTGTGCATCAGAAAACCACAAGTGAGAAGCAGGCTGAAAGCCCTCCTGCCAAAATGATTACTCTCTGTTGCAACCAAATCCTTGAAAAACCATCTGTACAGCGATGCTAGACCGGTGTTTGCTTCAGTAGTTATCTCAGTGGCACTAAGTCTGACTTACCCCTTCTCGGTGGCAACAACAGGTCAAACAAGCAGTGGTATTTCCTGCTGATGAGTCAGAGGTGAGACATGAAAATCACCATCTCTTCACACAGAACGTTTTAGACGTTATAATTTGATATCACCTGTGGTTGCTTCACCCATCATGCACTACGCTGAGGGATGACACTTCATTTCAGTGGAAATGTGGTAGACCACAGTAACTGATCAACTGCACCTCCTGGTACCTGGGGATTCCTGTTCTCACACAGTCGCTTGACCCAGCAGTCCTTGATCCCTCCAGCCGCTCTGATGCTCCTCCCTCCTACAAGGGTCCCTGGGATCCTTGTCCTTCTTCTACCTTTTCCCTTTTCCTTTTTTTCTCCCTTCAGATCCTGGCTTTTATGAGGTTCAGTGCTGGGTTAGTGTTTCTCTAGGTTCCCAGGCCTCTACTTTCCCGGCTCAATCCTCTTTCATTCCACGTCCCTCCCTGAGCCCTTCCCATGGCCCCCAACACCCATCTGTGGTTCCCCTTTGGCCAGGGCCCGCAGGCACAGTGAGGAGAAGGTCAGCTCACATCCTGAAGAGTTACATCTGCCGTCATCCCTTTTCTACATCAGTCTCTCATGATTAAGAGCACATGACAGCTACAAGGCCAGTAAAACAAAACAAGCGCGGAGTTTCCTGATCATGCCAGTTGAAAGATTTAAGGAACAAAAACAACCAAAAAATCAAGGCCAAAGCCAAAACCAAAAAACCCCAAAACAAAACAAAAGCAAAGAAAAAGCAAAGAGAAGGCAAAACAGCTAAAATTTCTGGCCTTCATTCTTAGGCCAGATGACCTATTCTTCATGCCAAGCGAAACTCGAGTGAATAGGAAAGATCGTTTTAAGATTGTCTTTATTCTGAATTTCTTTCTTCAGAATTGAACATCGCTCTGGTGACAACTGCACGAGTGCATCTCAACAGGTGAAGATTACATGGGATTCTAACAATGCCCTTTTCCCTGACCGACACTGCCAGTCACAACGGCTCTATGTTTTCCACCATTTGCTGATTTGCTTTTAAGAAAATTTGCCCTCGCAGACAGATGCAGCTACTCCTTTTAACCCAGAGCAGCATCGGCACATCTATAAGATAAGGAGGAAGGAGGCTACAGGGAGGTGGAGCAGACTTGTCACAGCTGCACAACAAAAGAGGCATCAATTATGAAGTGCAACAAGGGGGCTTCCAGCTGCACAACAGGGAAAAAGTCCTTTACCCTGAGAGTGGTCCAGCACGGGGACAGGTCTCCCAGAGCAGATGGGGACTCTCCATCCTTAGAGACTTTAAACATTTCTCTGGACAACACCCTGAGCAACCTCCTCTAACTTTGAAACTGGCCCTGCTTTGAGCAGCAAGTTGGACCGGAGCCTTTCAACGATTTTTTCCCTGATTTCTAGGTGGACAGGATAAGGGCTGGGCGAGGAGGACTGGGCTGCACAGCAGGGGAGCTTCTTCCTGTCGTGTGACCCACAGCACGAGCTGTACTGCGTGGAGGCGAGATGCATGTGGCCCCACTGCCCTTCTCTGCCACATTCCCACCCACTCTCCCTCACTCCCTTTCAATTTAACTTCTTGCATTTTCACTAGGCTTCCCAGAAAAGCAAAAGAAAACCCCCCAAAGTTATTATGAGCTCAGAACATGCAAATTTGCATAAGACCAATTTCTTTTTAGAGATGTTGTCAAGGGAAATACTGAGAATTCACCTTTTAGCAACCAGCTGCTTCTAGCCATCTAGAGTGACCTGCACCAGTCTCTGTTCACACTGATGCAACCCTCCATACCCCTCTGGGGCTTTGACAGAGCACATTTGGAGCCCTCCACAAATACTGAAATTGGCCAAGGCTTGGCAAACTTTGAATTTCAATTTTTGCACAAAAAAGGAAGAGAGCATTCACAAGAAAATTTCTTGTGTTTCATCAGCTTAAGTGTAACACATTCTGGATCAAGCTTCATTATTTATGGATGAAGCGTTGTTCGTAACCTCCACTCCAGAGCATTGTGAAAACTGAGATCAAAGAGCAGAAAAGTGCCTGATCTTCTGATGTGCTGGAGGCCCACAGTCCCCCCTGCTTCCAAATGGAGTAAGATGTGTACGTCACCTCGGGACCACCTTGCAACCTGCTGTCCCCATTTTTCACTGGCACCAGTGAGCTTTAGGTGCGCCACTTCACATGTGCCTAAGCTGAAGCCTGCACTCTAAACTGTCCCAAACACTACTGGGATGGAGAGAATGAGTTAAAGCAGATGGGGATTAGCAAACTGCTGATTGTCGGAAATTAGCCAGTGTGGAAAAAAATGTTCAGTTATAACTGTAATAAGACTACTTAGGTAGGTCAGGACAAAACCACATCAGAAGATGACAGCAAAGAAGGAGGTGTGGGTTCAGTATCACTTCGGAAAATGAGACATTCTTTCTCCAGCTTTGCCCCGCCTGTGACATAAAGAGAAGAAAAACTGCTGACCAAATCTCAGTGTTTTTTAAAGCTCATGGCTTTCACTTTCCTGTAAACGGTTCACATGAGTATCAGTGTGCCTGTGCCATGAATCTACAATTTCATTTTGATTAAAGTCCATGGATGATATTCTAAAGAGCCTTCAAAATTACCTGAGGTACGCAAACCAATATGCCTGTCTGTACAAATCCCCTTTTTTTCCTAAGGAATTCAAACCAGAAATGAACAGAAATGCATGTGATGCTGTCATAATATTTGTTTTCACAGTGTCCATCACCCCTGCATCTCAGGCTTTCGGAGACTGAATGTATGTATGTCCATGACTATCTTTGTGAGCTGGGAGGTGCTAATTAGCCCCATTTTCTAGGTAAGAACTAATGCGCGGGAGAGTTTAGAGACCCAAGTCACAGCAGCAGCCTGTGCCAGAGTGCATTTGAACCTGACACCGGGTAAGGCTGACAACTGGACGATATTTTAATTCAAGAGCATTTTGAGACTGATTTTGAGGCAGTGGCTTTCTGATTCAGCTTGATGTTAACTGGACAACTGCTCATTTGGCTCTTTTTGCTGCAAAGCTATGTTCTGAGTCTGTGGTCGAGCAGTGAAAGCCGACCATGGCTCAGCTGTGCGCTTACCCGGGTCGGCTCAGCCAGCGGAAAGGGTTAGGGGAGCCGCAGGTTGAACATGTCTTATTTAAAAAGTCAGGATCCATTTCCCCATTTTAGGCACCAGAGAGTATTTTGATGTGATGCTTCAGCACGCTTTTGCAGTCATTATACCCAGGTGCCCAGCGTACACTCTGAAACACTAACTCCGTGCTACCACGACCTCAGTCTCCACTGAAGCACAAGGAGTTACTTCTGAGCTTGGGTGATGGCAGTTAAGGAGCCACCAGGCAATGACGGCCGAGGGGCACGGAGCTGCTGCTGAGGGGAAAGGAGCCGGGCAATAGAGTTGGGGAAGGAGCTGCCGAGTAACAATGACCGAGGGACAAGGTGCCGCTGGGTGGCTGCAGCTGAGGGACAAGGAGCTGCCAGGCAATGGTGGCTGAAGCAGGAGTCACCAGACAATGGCTGCTGAAGGAGAAGGTGCAAGGCCATGGCGACTAAGGGACAAGGAGGGGCTGGGGGATGGTGTCTGGGGGACATGGCGCAGACAGCGCTGGCTGAGGGACAAGGAAGCGCTCGGTGATGGCGGCTGCAGACCTCCGCCGGCCCGCGCGAGACGGGTGACATCACTCCGCAGCACCCGCGCATCGCGACGCGGCGTCGCCACGCAACGGCCGGACAGCTCGCTGCTCGGCGCGCGGGCTGCCGCCCCCGCACTCACGTGACACCTCCCCCCC